GCTTGGATGTAGGCTTGGATGGCGTCCGCCAGCTTCACGTGTGCCCAGGGATGCAACCATAGAAGTCTGCCCAGCGGGAAGCTTCGAACGTAGCAGGTGAGTTGCCGAGATCTTGGAAGAATGCGGCCTCCCAGTGCTGGTTCTTCACTTGGTTGCCAAGTAGTACGCCTCGACCTTTGAACTTTCTTCCGGGGCTCCCCTTCGGCAGTTGATAGTTCTTCTCGACACAAATGCCGTGAACTCGTGCCATATGGACTTCTTTTCCTTCTCGTTTGGCTTCTGCCACAACATCGTCGTATTCACGGACAATGGAGAAGTGGTACACCCCTTGCTTGTGCTGACCCAACCACTCGTTCCTCATTGAAGCCTTGGCGTCCGGGTCTTCCATCATCTCCTTTCGGCCAACTGGCCTTGAGACCATCGCGTTGAACAACTTCCCAAACCTCATATAACTTTGACCGAACTTCTCGCGATGCTCAAAGTCTTGGTGAACGCAAGGCATACAAGGAATTGACTTCACGAAGTGGTCGACCTTGGACTTGCCATTGGATTCATTAGAGGTAGAAGCCGTTGGTGCAGCAGTAGCAGGTGTGACACTCTTCCCTGTGTTGAAGTCATAGTGAACATTCTCCCAGTGAGCTCGTGGTCCATTACCAACTTCATGTTCGGACCATTCATCCCAATCATTCAGAAATTCTTGACCATCATCATCACTTAGGATGTTTGTGCTCGTCTCGCTGGGTGTCGATGGAGAAGTGTTGTAGAGCTCCTTGATGTTGTTGAAATCCTTGGATCCGCGGGTAGCCGAAAGGCATGCCCCGTCTCCATTATTGGATCTGAGATCGCTGGTTCCGCGGGGAGCCGGAGGGCATGCCCGCTCACCATGATCTCTTCTGACATGGTTCAACTCTTTCGGTTCATGGGCCGCCGACAGGCATACCCACTCGCCTCGGAGCATTCCCACGCCAACGGCAGCGTCCTTGCCGCCATCTTTGCCTGAGCTCTCCTTCGACTTCTTATTTCTCTTTTCCTTCCATCTTTTGGTGGATTTGTGTGAACTTGCATCGGACTTCTTCTTCTCGGCAGCTTCAGCTTTGACCTTCTTCTCTTTCTCCTTCTTCAACTTGATCTCCTTGAGCTTCTCGGCCTCAGCTTCCAACTTGCCGCGACGAATGATGACATCCCTCTCCTTGGCGGAAAGAGCTCTCAGCTTCAGGACTGTAACTGCTTTTTGGCCTCGGTGACCCTCGTATGCGACCATCAGGACCGACACGATAGAGTACTTCCCCGTTTGTCGATGCTCGCCAATGTCGCTGAGGTAGATGATGCCGTCACCAGGTTTGCCCATAGAGTGATGTTCAGGTCCATCTTATAAGAGTCTTATAAGGAGGTTCGCCATCAGGAGGAGGTAGAGGAGGTTCACCAACAACTTCAACCTTGTCTTTCTTCTCCTTGTCGAGTTTGACGTCCATCTCTCTCAACATTCGGTCGAATTCTTCTTCTTGATTTCCGGCCTTGTTGGTGATCTTGCTCTTCTTTGCTTTGTCGTCACCCCCACCGTCGTCATCTTCGTCGTCATCGTCATCATCATCATCTTGTCGATCCTCGAGAAAGTCAGGGGATCCTTCAAGACGATCCTTCACAGCCAACCCTTCCAATGTGGTGTTCACCTTCTCGTAGATGTCTTTGCATGGGAACATCAATGGGTAATGCACCTCGATCTTATCAGTAAGATGAGGATGGCGAAGCTTGTCGATGATGGTTTTGGCATCGAACGAGTAGTTCTGCTTCGTCATGTCCGACAGTGCCCAAGCCATGTCTTGTCTTCGCCAACTGATTCCTGGCGCAATTTCGTATCCTGCAAAGACACCAGGGATGCCCTTGGGGTCGAACTTGTGAGCTTGCTCATTGACTCTCGCTCCACTTGGTTTTGAAGTAAACCAATGCACCAAAGGGGATCTTCTCGCCGTTGAACTCTGCACCATGAAGCTTGCACCAAGCGCTCACATCATCTTCTCCAGGTTCCACATGGAGTAGGTGACATACACATCGTATGGCAAACTTCCAGAAGCATGCTGGGAGTCCAGCCTCGAGTAGGCATGTAGTAGTTGCTGCAATGACGAACTGGTTGTTGCGCTTGGCTAAGGAGTTTGTTGATGGTCTTCCCGGCAGCGCATGGTCAAAGGGAATCTTGAGAGCCTCCATGCCTTTGACAAACTGTCTGGCTTTGTCGGAGCACGCCTCTCTGATGGTTCTCCTCCCCATAAAGTATTTCACTGCCCTCACAACGTCTTCAGTGCTCTTCGTCGGTGAGGGGTAGCTTTGAATGATGCCGGTAAACCTGTCACGCGAATGACCAGGATCTCCTTAACCGTGTCGTAGCCCAACTTGGTCGTCCTGCGAGCCGAACTTGGTGAGCTTCCGGCGGAATGCACCTCGATATGTTTTGTGGTGCTTCATCTTTGCCCGTACGCAAGAGTTGCAGTACGGATTCTTGTATCGATGTGTCAACAAGTGTTCAAGTGTACGAGCCTCATGCTTCAGGGCACCTCTTTTCGACAATCGTGCACCTCCTTCAGGATCATCGACATCGATATCATCTTCATCATCTTCTTCTTCATGTGGTCCGTTCTCAACACCAACTTCATCTGCATTAGATTGATCAACTTCAGGATCTTCATCAGCTGCTGGAGCAGGATCATCATTATCGTCTTCTTCTTCTTGACCGTGTACATCATCCATGCGATCATCATAGTCCGGTCCTTCTTCGCGGATCGATGGTTCATCGTCGTGTTCTTCTCCAGCTGCTGCAGGAACTGTCTTTCGTCTGGGTTTTCGCTTGTTGGTCTTCCTCGGAGGATTCACTGGCCCGTCGCCAGGCGTACCAACTTCGCCATCCGATTCAGACATTAATCACCACTTTCACCATCAAGATAAATCGTCCTCGATGCAGTGTTGCTGCCCATGAGACCTAACACCTTCATCACCAACTCAGCCTCATTCACTTTTGGAAGTTGCGATGTCGAAAAAGTGCACGCCTTTGTGGCGCGAAGCGCGTTTGCAAGTGAAAAAGCTAAAAGCACCTCACGTTCGGACCACTTTTGGAAGTTGAGATGTCGAAAAAGTGTACGCCGTTGTGGCGCGAAGCACATTTCGAAGTGAACATGTACAAAACACACCATTCTCGGACCACTTTTGGAATTTGCGATGTCTAAAAAGTGCACGCCGTTGGGGCGCGAAGCACATGTCGAAGTCAAAATGTACAAAGCACACCAGGTCCGGACCACGTTTGGCAGTTGAGATGTCGAAAAAGTGCACGCCGTTGTGGTGCGAAGCACATTTCGAAGTCAAAATGCACAAAGCACACCATGTTCGGACCACGTTTGGAAGTTGCGATGTCTAAAAAGTGCACGCCGTTGTGACGCGAAGCACATTTCGATATCAAAATGTACAAATCACACCATGTTCGGATCACTTTTGGAAGTTGCGATGTCGAAAAAGTGCACGCCATGGTGGCGCCAAGCACATTTCGAAGTCAAAATGTTAATAACACCAGGGGTTCGGACCACTTTTGGACGTTCAGATGTGCTTTCGCGTGGCAGGCGCGAGGGATTGTGGACCTTGTTAAAAGTGAGTAAAATGTGAAGGATTTGTAGCATTTCCAAAAACGATGGCAGGCGTGGGACATTTGAAGAGGATCTGCAAAGATGTATATTCCGTGGCAGGCGCAGTACAAGAGACATGTTTATCAGAGATGTTAGGAGGTCCGGGCGCTGATTTCTTGAGAGGGGTTGCATTTTGGAGCATCAGATCTTCAGGTTTGCTGAGATGATTTTGCGTGACAGGTGCAGCACTTCGTATGACCCGGTATCACTTTTTCGTGACAGGTGGAGTCGAAACATCGCAAAACGCATTGGTACGAGGCCGTCAGCTCTGCACTCAACGTTCCATTTTTTGAAGGAAGTCTTGCAGAATTGTTTCGTTTTTGATGCTGTCAACTTCGAAAATTGAGGAAGTCTCGCAGAAGTGTTTCGTTGTTGATGTTGTCAAGTTCAAAAATTGAGGAAGTCTCGCAGAATTGTTTCGTTTTTGATGTTGTCAAGTTCAAAAATTGAGGAAGTCTCGCAGAATAGCTTCGTTTTCAAGCTTGCAGATAGATAGATAGAGAGACAGGCAGACAGACAGACAGACAGACAGACAGACAGACCGACAGACAGACAGATAGATAGATAGATAGATAGATAGATTGATAGATTAGAATAGATTAGAATAGATTAGAATAGATTAGAATAGATTAGAATAGATTAGAATAGATTAGATCAGATTAGATTAGGTAGATAGATAGATAGTTAGGTAGGTAGCTAGATAGTCAGAGAAAGAGAAAGAAAGAGAGAGAAAGAGAGGAGACCTCAACCACCTGTCGGTCCATCAGTAGCTTCGCTCTGCCATCCGTGACTCACAACAACCAACCTCTCCTACAGGAAACCGCCTTGTGCGGTACTACTGGTATTAAATACTGTATTGTTTAAAATAATTGTGTATCATTTTTCTTTATATCTATTTTATAGTCTATATCATATATTATTGAATGTACAGTTTTTACATTACAATGATGTAGTATATATTATATATATACACATAATGATAAATGATACAATTTATATTAGATGTTATATGTTAATATATCACATATTTTACATATATGCATACATCATCAATAGTTTTATTGGGGAACGCAACCCAGAGAAATGATGAGTTTTTTTTGGTTAGCAACCCTAAAATAATTGCTGAAAAATTGGAGACCTGGACACCATGAGGTAAGGTTCGGGGGAACAATTTCCTGGAACAACTTTCCCCATCTATTTAGGGGTTTCTTGATGTTTCTTGTAACAGTGAGATCAGCCAGTTAGACGTTGCAAGCAAACACCATCAGCATCGGCATCAGCATCGGCATCAGCATCGGCATCCCCTGTCCCTCTCTGAAGTTTTTGGTGGCCAAGGATCAGTTGCTCCAAGCGATTGTGGGTGTCCCGAGAACTACATTGACATGGACCGGTCAGGCAAGGGAATCGTGATTGCTAGTCCCGCTCGTCGTGTGCCTGAAAAAGACAAGTCTACATGGGCCATGTGGTTCCGTTGTTACGGGGACGTGTTACTTGTATTATTTTCCTGATTTCATTAAATGCTTATTGCAGGGCCCTCGAGAGGATGATCCCACACTTCTTGGGGTTAGCAGACCACCGAATGATGAGCAAATTGGCTGTTTTTCACCAGCAGAAATCAGGCAAGTCTTGTCAGTGCCATCGCAGGGGAAAAAATTGAAAAACAGATACGCACATTGGGACTGAGAAACATACCTTGAATGATCTGACACGTCGGACGAATTCTCATGTCCTGTGCAGACAGAGAGATTGCATTTGATTGTTGACTATACCCATTTGGGTCCTTTGATCATGTTCATCTAAGAGACCTTGCCCTAGGAGGCTTCGAGTGTGTCCAGTGCAGTGTGGGAATGACATGCCCCGCTCTATCTTCGTTGGCTACCTGTCTGAAGTGATGAAAACATGATCATGATGGAAGTCACAAAAACAAAATGATGCTGCACAGACATGTTGTGCAAACTCTGGCAAGCAGCCTTCAGCAACATTTTTTGGATATTCTGTTTGGGGTTTGGATTTGGCAATAGGTTGCTTCGATTCCTTTCACGTAGACTGCCCTCGTTCAGGTTGACTTGGAGAGTGGAACCAGCGTTTTGGGGGAGGAGTTCACTCCAAAGATTCAGCAGGGTTTCTATTCCATTGCAGGTTCTTCAACTTCAACGGAGGCGTGATACCAGAAGGCATACAAACGATTTATTGTGATTTATTGGAATTTCATGGATTTGTTCAGTAATGGAAAATTCCACCCCAAAATGCATGTCTACTTGGGGAAACAAGGATAAACCATTGCATTTTTGGGCCTCCTTTTTGAACATGCAATGCAGCCGCTGTGCCCTCGCCTACCAGCATTCTGGACAGCCGGGTTTCCAGCTCAGCAGGGTTGCAGGCTTTCAGTTGAGGTTCCAGGGTTCCAGGCCTGTTCAAAAGGACGCGGGCAGGGCAGACCAAAATATCGATGGTGGTGTCATGCAAGTTACGTTTTCGTTTGGTCTTGGGCTTGCAGTTACTGTTGGGAATATGTCATGTCATGTGGGTCTTTTTGAAGATTGCGATGATTGTGATGCGCCCAGCAGTGGGGTAACCATGTTTTTTCCAACAGCAGAGAGCTGTTGGAACATGACTTGGTACCTTGACCTCCGGGGTTTGGCACTCCGATGCTTGCGGTTTCAGACTTAGATGGTTCCAGGATTCAGCGCGATTGGACAAATCTAGGTCTCTCCACATTTGCAAGCGTTGCCAGCCACCGTGAGCAGACCAATAAGAGTCAGGATTAGGTATTAGGTGAGAAACCTTTGAGCTACCGGCAAATGGCAATAGACAACCTGCACTCACCAGCTCATCTGGGAAAGGTGTGACAAAAGTGTGCGCGCTTTGTTTAGCGGAAAAAGGGCATGACACCGCGCTCTGAGAGCTCAAGGAAGAGGTGGCTTAGGCCGAGAGAATGCTTGATTCAGAAGCCCAAAGAAGGAAAGCTGAAGAAGAGCTACCCCAAAGACAAGGTAGCTGAAACAAAACATATCTGAGGTGTGAGAGAGAGGGAGAGATAGACCGCGCTCGCAGAGCATTGTTGGAAGATAAAAACGAGATCGACAAAATGTGCACCAGGTTGGTTGGACACGGAATTTTTCTGTCCGCCGGAGCTGGGGTGCAGAGTTTCTGGGATTCGTTGCAGCTCCAGGGTGCTACTGCCTGCGTTTTGCTAATGTGAGATGGACGCAGGCCAGCTGCAATGTAGAGAAGAGCTGAATGAAGGAAGCATCGCCCCAGTGAAAAAACGCAGAGAAGTGGCTAGGACTAGGACAGAGTTGCGTCAGAGAAGAAGTAGCTGCTGCAAGAGTTGGCTCAGAGAACAACAAGTGAGCTAGAGAACTCAGTAGTTCAGTGAAGAGTTCGCTGGGAGAATGGGTGGCTGAGAAAAGGTGTGGGCCCAGGAAGAAGGAGCTCAGACAAAATAATGGGTCAGAGAAGATGTAGCGCAGAGGAGAAGGAACTCAGAGAAGAGGAGGCTTGCTTTTAGCGAGTAGTCATTCAATCATGTAACCTCTCAGTGGCCCACACGGCCTGCCAATTATTCATCCCGTCAGCCTGTCGCTTCACCACTCAGGTTGAAAGGGGCAAGGGCAAACGATGGGAGGGAGAAGATTTGAAGGTTTTTTCCTATATCCATTGCCGGGCTAAATTTATGTTGTTTGTTTGGGCTTGGGGGGGGGGCATTTTCCAAACTAGACGACGGTGTGGCCTGAAAGAAGAGCAGGAGGTAATAGATCAAAAGAGGATGGAAAAGAAGACATGAAGATGTCGGATGATGAGTGATGATGAAAGATGAAATGTGGCTGTTGATGCATAATGACTAATGAATTTGTAATGATTAATCATGCAGTTATGATATCATATGTGTATCTGTATATCTTTATGCCGTCTATTCAGATGACAGCCATGAGCCCAGCGAATTGCGATTTGTGACGTCAAAATACATTGTCGAGAAGCAAGGCACGTTGCGATTGCACCCTGACTGCAAGACAAGACAGGAACCGAAGCTCAAAAGCAAAGAAGCAAACGATAGATCCAACAAGTCGCAATTGCACGTCAAATAATCGCCGCACCAGCTATTTCCACAAACATGAAGCATGCTGCAAGCGAAGGCCTTCAAGTTGCGATTGAACTGATGAGGCGCTTGAATACATTTATCACTAAATGCGAGGTGGAAAAGGGCCACTCAGTAGCAGGAGTTTGCGGCATTTGGCCACAGCCATTCGTCTTCAACCTGGCAACACAACATGGAGACCAGAAGACAGATGTTCTTGCAAAGTGTTGCGACGCTTAGATAGCAGGTGATAAGCAAGACATGGCGCATCAAGAGCAAACCTGAAATGTCAAACTCATACATCGCCCGCAACTCCAAGTTAAGGCGCCGTCGCGCGAATGTTTGCAGCAGAGAAGAGACATACTCCAGGTAAGTGTCTGGAAAACCGAGATTGTGCTCCGAACAAACCTTGTTCGGGCAATCCACATTGTTCAAGAACTACGCCTACGCGAAGAAATCTGCTCTGGCACAAACGCGCTATTGCCGCCAAAGACATTTCATGTCCAGCAATGAAGAGCCATGCGCCAGTAGCTGGTGCCAATGCCTTGGGCAGTGGCTCCAGCAGCTCTTTTTTGATGAATCTCCGTGACCCATCACGAATTGGGAGACCCGCTTCTGTGCAAAGCTATCGCAAAAAAACACCCACAGGCTTGTCGTCAAGCTCCTTTCGCAGCCAGTTCCCGCTATGGTCAGCCACGTTTGCTCGCCACTCTTGGCCAAGTTCCTCTTCGACACCTGTTGCAATTGCTTCCTGAGAATGGCTGCAATTGCCGATCTCAAAGAACGATATCAGGTTCTGTATGACAGGGAAAACTTGCACTTCGATCAAGCACCAAGCAAACAAAAATTGCCACGTTCTTACAAAAACCATGTATTTTGACACAAGCCCATCAAGAAAAACGCTTCGCACCCAGCAATAAAGACATGAGTCAATGGCTGGAACCAATGCCTTCACCAGTTGCTCCAACAATTCCTCTGCATTCAGCATCGTCCTTCTCTGCTGAACACAGTTTTCAAAGATATTCTGTAAAGCACTCGATGCAGCCCCTCTGCGGACTCGACAGCCAAACGTGGAGAAGGACTCAAGTCTTTTGCCAATGCTCGCACCAGGCATCCTTCTGCAGAACTCTCCTGGAACCGTTCCTCACACCAAAATGCGCAAAGGGTTTCTGCCCCATTATCACGAAGCTGTGAATGTTTAGCGCGTCCAAAATCTGCTGTGGAGAACATTGGGTGGCCGCAGCAGAGGGAGCAGATCCAAGCCACTGCTGGAAGATCCGGCCTGGCTGGTCACAAACAAAATGCAACAAATTAGTATTAACAAAACATTGTTCACAACACGACACCCCGCGCGAAGACCAGCCAAAAAGAAAACACTAACGACCAGCCGCTGTGTAGAAACTCAAAAAACGCAGGAGATCTTGCCGCATTTCCTCTTCACTTTTGAAAAAGGTCCGAATCATGATGGCGAAGTCGGATGCCCGCAGCAGTGCGCAGGCCTCGAAGGTCACTACATTCTCTTCCTGGTAGCTCATCTTGTAGAACTCGTTTCAAGCGTTCGGTCCATTTATTTGGATCCGACTCCATGGGTCCCCCACACCGCAACACAACAGCAAACAACCAGCGTCGCACAGCTGATCGCTTCGCACAATTCGTGGTCACAACCAACTTGTACGTCTTTGTTGCCTAGTGAAAAAACACTGCTGTTTGTTATTGCCCTGTCTGTGAGTGCCACATGATGAATCCTTTTTTATTAGCGGTGACAACAGCACCAACTGACACATGGGGTTCCAACTACCCTAGTACAGCCAAACTTGAGAATCTTGAGATGTCGTCGAGTGGCTCTGAGCCGACAAGATAACCACATGGAAAGAAAGACACCGCTGACATACAACAAAAAAACATGCGTAGCACAATGACTTGTTGCACACACACACACACCGCGGTCCCATCCAACTTCGGCTCGCAACGCTTTTTTGCACCGTAAAAGACATTGCTACTTCTGATTGCATTATCTGTCTTTGAGCAAACATCCCCACAACACAAATGCAAATGGCTTACAGGGGAGAGCATTTACCCAGAAAGCGTTTACAAACAGCAAAGGCGATTACACACAGATGTGTTTACACCCAGAAGCTTTTACAAACAGAAACTTTTACACACAGAAGCTTTTACACGGGGAAGTCTTTACACAGCCGAGCTTTTACACACAGAAACTTTTAGACAGAGTTACACACATAAACTTTTACACAGTTAATTTTCTCACAGAGTAACTTTAGGACACTGACGCGTGTACGCACAGAAACCTTTACACAGAATGGTTGCATCTAAGATGTCAAAATCGCAATTTTACTTTCCTGTCGTGCGACAGGGTTGCGTATCCTGCGCGTCGGACGCCTAAACGTGTGGTGAAAAGCGAATTTGGTGTCCTTTTGGGCAACCCTCTCCTGAGATCGTGCGTGTCGGACACACAAACGTGTGGTGAAATGCGGCTTTTGTTTTTGCCCTTGGGCAACCCTCTGTGGAGATCGTGCGTGTCGGACACACAAACGTGTGGTGAAATGCGAATTTTGTGGTCCGCGGCGTCACCTCTTCTGTCTTGGCATCAAAAACGGGTATAAAATATGAGATGAAGGTCGAAAACTGGTGTGAAATTGTGTCTTTACAACGTGAAATGCAAAAATGACGAAAAACTGGTGTGAAATTGCGCTTTTGAAATATCAGCTCCGCAAAGGGTGACGTTTCGGTGGACGAGGCTTGGCTGCCTCTGGCCCCAAGAGAGGGAAATTAAGAAAAACTTAGGAAGTAGGAGGTTTGTAAGAGTTCAGATACAAGTAGATCACCCAGAAGTTAACTCCTGTGAAGTTAACTCCTGTGAAGTTGCTTCAGTGTAGCAGCTCCTGTAACAAAAACTCCTGTATAACAACTTCCGTGTCACAACTCATGTAAAACAAGTCCTGTGTAAGAACTTGTGTAGGTTATGTAGACGATGTATGTGATGTGTGATGTGCATGGCACTGATGCATGTGATGTTGACGAAATTGAAAAATGATGTTGATGATGTATGCGATGTAGAGGTTGATATAGATGATGTAGGGGATGTATGTGATGTAGCTGTAGATGATGTAGATGATGGAAAGGATATAGGACAGATGTAGGAGATGTAGATTGATGCATGTGATGTAGATGAAGCCGATGTAGGTGATGTATTTGGCAGCAGTTCTTTGGAAAAGACACCGTTCGCAGGAGTTTTCGGGAAAAACACGGTCTTCAATTCTTCAATTTCCTTTCTCATGCTGTTTGTTTCGATAGCTTGGGCAGACTGGCAGAGTACATGTGACTGCAGTGAGATGTGGTTTCATGCGTGAATCCTGTGCTTGCTGCATGCAAAGCGAAAGTGGGAAGGTCTTCAAATGCCGTAGCCCTGTGTCTTGTCCCGGTGGCCCGCCTGGCACTTGCGCTGGTGGGCTCGTTGGCACTCCTTGCTCGCAATGTCCAGCAGGCCTGAAGATTCTCTTGGGTCACCCTGAATGGGGTTGCTAGTCTTAGTTCTCACATGCCCAAATGAAAATGTATTTCATGAGCCGCTGCAATCGCCCAACCCAGCAAGCATGCAGTTCAAGCTTACGTTTGTTGAGGACATCCCAAGATTCAGGCCTGCTGGAAGGTTTGAACTCGATGCAAAGTTCCTGTTTGCATCTACTTTAGGTACTTGTAATTGTTTTGGGTATGCCTCCTTCACTCCTTGTCTGCTTTTGGTACCGTGTTTATAACAGAATTCTTGGTTGGGTACCCGATCCATCCTTGGGTGTGTCCTTGGAAACAAGCGACTTACAAGCAATTTGCAGGGGCCACGTGGACCGGAAGTGAATGCGAGGATTGCGCTGGGTGGCGTCAAGCTCTATGGGAAGCTTGGTGGATTCCAGAGCTGGATCATGGGTCGAGTGAGATATGGATGTGTGCTGGAAATTCAACCAAAGCAAAGCAACAGGGTTTTGTCCAGATTTTTTGGTAGGTGCCGCAATTGGCCAGTACACAGCGCAGTCAGAGTCCAGAGCATTTCCGTGGCGCGCTTTTAAGGTCTTCGCAGTGGTTGGCATTTTCGCATTCTTGACTGTGGCGTATTATCTCGCTACATCCAAGGCCGGTCTTAGCAAGCTAGGGCAGATGCAGCAACAGAGTCATTCCAATAGGGGCTGTTTCTATTGTTACCTACAGAGACGTAAAGATGACACATGATGCTATGAAGGTTTGCAATGAGAGCCAGTTCTGCCTTCACTCGGGCCGATAGTAAGGTCACAGCGAAAGCCACCGTGCTTTTCGCCACAACGGCTTCATTTGGCATGCTTGTGATGGCAATGCAAAACATGGGTCTCATTGGCATGATGACTGTCGAGTGGCCAGTGAGCCTTGAAGGGCTGTTCAGCATTTGCCAATTCCTCCTGCTTGACATTGACAGCTACGGGTTTTCCTGCATTGCCGGCCAGTCTGAACCCATCCGCTACTTGCTGAGCGCCTTGATCTTCCCAAGTGGTGTCGCATGGCTGGCGCTTTGCTTTGCTGTGTCAAAGCTCTTCCCAAAAAAGCACCAGTGGGAAGGGCCCAAGGTGTGCAGTACAATGGGAGCTTTCCTGCAGGTTGGATTCAGCACAATGAGTGCAACATCGTTGGCTCCCATGATGTGCTACCAGCATCCGAACGGCCAGCGAAGCATCATGAAGTATCCTGGCGTCATTTGCGGATCTGCAGAGCACGATATGATGTTAGTCATCGCATGGATCTTGCTGGTGGTGTTTGTCTTTGGCTTCGTGGCGTTGTGCGCCTTTGCCGTCTTCATGGCCACTTGACTGTTGCGAACCGTGTGGGGAACCTCTCTACAAGGGCGTAGCTTTGTAGCGTGTTTGGCTTGAATTTCCATGTTTTGCTGCTGAGCTTGCTCATGAAACAGCAGTGGCTTCTTAAAGACATCTTGAGCATAAAATCGCACTTTGTCATCAAACTGAGGTGCCACGGTGGAGTGCCAAGCGGCAGAACCACTTTGTTGCCTGTGCCCGCTTCCTGGTGTTTCGCTTCCGCCTGGCTCAAGGTTGGCTCAAGGTTGGCTCAAGAGTGGCTCAGCCTTCTTAGAGTACCATAGACCCATAAAGAGGTCAACATCCACAAGCGATTTAGTGCTGCAAAGGCAGCGTGGGGGGGGTGGGCCATGTGGCTTTCCTTGCTGCTCGCGCTGCTGCTGTCTTCGGTGCGCTGGCGTCGGCTGCCGCGGCTGTTGTGCAAGACTGAGAGTGCCGATGCTCAGTCAGCTTTGGGATACTTGGCAGTGTCTGCGAGTGTTTGTCAACACTCCTCGTCACTGTCTTATGGTCCTGGTATCCCTATGACGCCTTTGTTGCGGCTGGTTCAGGCTTTCGGGGTTCTCTTCGGGACCTTGGGTCTGGGATTCTGTGCTTGCGGAAGGGTTGGTTCCCTTTTCCGTGGCGTCACTTCTGGAATCCTCTCTCTGGTGTGTCAGTCCTTAGGTGGGTCTGAGTTCTTGCTCTGGGCGTGTTTTGTCTTCTCCGTCGGCGGTGTCCTGGCCGGGGTTGGTTGGTGGCATGCTCGCGCTGTTTCTCTCGGGCTTTCCCCGTCTGGGCCTGCTCGGGCTTTGGTTCCGTGTCGCTGGGTTGGTCGCTGTCGGGTGCCAGGGCCTGGTCACGGTTGGAGGCGGAGGTGGCATGGTTTCTGTCTTCGTCGTACTCGCTCGGTGTCTGGTCGTGTTTCGGTTGGTGCCGGGGACCCCGATCCTTCCCCCTCTCCTGGCCTTAACCGCCTCTGTCGGGGGGGAGGAATGTCTGAAAAGGATTTGTTGACTAGCCTCCAAGCGTTGTTGACGAAATTCTGCGATCCTGGTGATGGACCTCGTAACCCTGCTTCCGGTTCTGGTAACTCCTCTTCCACCCCCGGTAAGGGAAAGGGTAAGTTCAAGGGGAAGACTGCTGGGGTTGTTTCCGGTTCGGGGAAAGGGATCACTCGAAGTTTCCCTGGGGGGACTAGTGGTAAGGGTACCACCAAAGGCACGTACAAGAAAGATTCCCCTGGCACCAATGGGGAAGAGGCACTCTTGAGTGCCTTAATGAGACTGGTGGAGAGGTCTAGTAAGACTCAGGGCACAGGGTTGTTGCAACGGCTTCACAGTTTGGTCAATGCAGCTACCAAAGGGCAGGGCTTGGCCAAAAAGCGGCGAACTAAAAAGAAACAGAGGACAACTGCGGCCATGGACACAGCTAAATCAAACACTCCTGCGTCTCTAAGACGAGGCAAAGGCAAAGGTAAGGGTTCACATAGTGAAACAAAGGTCGACAAAGCAGGTGTACAGAGCAGTGGTTTCCAGCCTGTCCGCCTGCTCCCCGCAGGCTGGCCTGATAAGGCTGCCATGAACGTAGGGAAGTTACGTGAAACTCTAGCTAAGGGACAGTCACCGCAAGGTTGTGTCACCTGGGCAATGGAACACCAGGTTCCTGAACTTCGCAATTTGGCTCAGGTGCATGGCATCAAGAAAGCTTTCGCTATCGTTTGTCTTGCCAGACCAGGCCAAAATGAAGCACCGCACTCAGGTGGCGTCAAGCGGCTCTTGCCGACCACTGACAAAGAGGGACGGGCCGGTCTTGGACATTTCTGGACCTTTCCCTTAGCCGAACAGTTTCCTGTTTTGCCTAGCTGTAGCATGTCATCCAGTGCTGCTCCAGTTCAAAGGTCGCTCAGTATACTTAGAGTTCAAATCCCAAAGCGTTTTATGACGCACGACACTTGGGTGCAGGTCACTAGACGTCCTGCTGCTACTCTCAAGAGCATAGTTGAACCTAGTGTTTTCCATAGTACCTTTAAATGGTCCCAGGTTACTCATAGCACTAAGTATGGTGGTGAGGAACTTGTTCTTGAGGGGTTTTTAAAAATTGACCAGGATGCGATTTTTGATACCTTGAGAAGATCGGGATCCAAAGGTATCTTCCTTTCTCAGGTCAACAAAGACAATCCGAACCCGCCTAAAGTTGCTTGGGTGCCCAAGGTCGAGAACGAAAGTGATCTGCAATATCTTGCCAGAATTCAGCAAGTTGGTTTCAGCAAGAGTGCCCCGCTTAGGTTCCGAATTGGGGGTGGTGCCTCCCTGGGTCTTATTGGTGAGGATGCTCCGGAAGGGAGTAGACCTAAGGTTTGGCAAGTTGCTGGGGTCCCCAGTAAGTGGAACTCGCAAGACCTCCAAAGGTGTTTGGAAGCAGCTGATTTTCAAGACACCACGGTTTTGCGCCGGACGTCAGCTCGGGCGCCTTGGTTAGTGCTTACCAAGGTTAAAAAGGAATTTCAGGATTCGCAAGTGTTTGGAGTCGAAAACCATGGCATTTGTCTCACCCTTAGTAAACCTCCTCCAAAGAAGTCCGTGTTGAGCAAAAAGACGGTTGCGGCTGGGTCCTGGTCTGACCAAGGTCCGTCAACTGTTGCTCCTCTCCCTGACCTCGACGTGTCAGGTGACCAAGCTATTGTTTCCAACTCTGGGCCGGTTACTAAGCGTGCCAAGGTTGATGACTGCCCGTATGAGATCGTTGATTGTGGCGGTCAGGGTAATTGTGGATGGAACTCCCTAGGGGTTGCAATGGCCTTGCAACGTGGTGTGTCATTAGAAACTGCACAAAGTGACATCGCTACGACCACGAAAACGCTTCGCTCTGATATATACACTCACCTGAAAAGACACGAGGCCGATTATCGTCACCTTTGGGTCCCGAATCCTGAGGAGACCACGACAACTGCTGGAGGCCCGGTGCCCGACAGTTTTGAAAGTTGGTGCGAGAGCATTTTGCGAGATGGGCAATGGCTCTGTGGATTAACTTTAGATGCTATTTCCAGAAGATGCGGGGTTAAAATTGTGGTGGTTGAAGAAAGAGCTGATGGTTCTGCCTTCCCTTTTGTTTTCGGTCCTTCTAAGTCCCGAAAACCCCCCGTTATTCTGTACCTCCGTAATGAGCATTTCCAATTGGTGAAAAAGCGAGATGGCCATAGTATCCCCCAGGATTGGGAAAAGGCTACTAACTCTAACGACAGTGCTAGACTCAGATTGCGCGGGGCTGGTAAGTTGTGGGCTGACAACACCCCTTCCCAGCGAAGTCGAATTAGCACCCCTCCCAGTCTCAAAGCTGGTAGAAAACTTTGGGAGGCCCGTACGCCTTCTAAGAGCTCTAGTGGCGCCACTCAGCGACCGCGCAAAAGCCACCCCGCCCAAGCCTCCTCCTACAAACCGAGGGCCAGTGTGGTCTCAGCCAGCCCCCCGCGGTTTAGGTATTGGACTAAGTCGTCGCCTGGAAATAGTGCTGTGATTGTTGGCGCGCCATCTACCAGCAGCCTCCTTCCCCCCCAAACGGTTGCTTTGAGTTGCTCTCCGCCTAAAGCCCCCAAAGGTAAACTCGGAACGGTTTATGAAATTTCTTTGGCTGAAAAACAAACTCGCCCTTGGTGGACTTGCCAGTTGTGTGGTTTGCAGATCTTTCAGAAATTTCATAACGGCAAATACAGTGCTTCTCATTTCACTCATCGCACTAACCATTTGAAAAGGGTCCATGGAATTAACAAAGCCCCTCCACTTCCTAGACATGGTTTGCAGGACATTGCTGTTCGGAAAGCAGCTCAGGTGCGTCATAATCATGACATCGCTTGGAAAACTGTTTGGGAAGCATACAATGCACACCGGTGGCCGGGGAGCCATCGCATCAGTTATGACAGTGAGAAAACTTTCTCCCGATCAGGATTCACTGTCTATAAGCAGAAGTGCCTGGACTGTGGCGTCAGCATGTACCGTGGTGATGTTCCTAAACGGGATCCTTGCCCCAAAAACCCCGGGAAGAATGTTCCCGCCAAAACTGAGCGGATCAAACTGTGGCGTAACTTTAACAAACTTCGTAAAGGTGCGCTCAAACAAGCGCGAAAGGAGCGCTACAAGGGCAACATGAGTCCTAAGGAAAGCGCACTGAAGGCCCTGGCTGGGTGGCGTGCTCAGCGTAAAAACCTCAGTGAGAAAGCAGATGGAACAACCATGACATTGAGGGGAAGAAGAGGCGAACGGGTTGGTGAGGCGCGACACCCAGGTCCATCAGCCCACAGTTCTGACAATTCTTCTTTTCGCATTTGGTCTAGTAATATCTCTAGTTGGGCTAAGCATGGTGAAAGCCTGTTAGTGGATGCCCAAAAGCAAAACGTGGATGTCGTTTGTTGCCAAGAAACTAACCTGCATACTAAAGACTTTAGTGTGCAGGCTGAAGTTGCGCGAAAAAACGGATGGCAAATCGTGTTTACAGCCCCCTTCGGTAGAAACCGAGGAGGTTTGGCTGTCGCCGTTCGGGATCCTTTGGCTTTCACTGTCACGGGTAGCCTGGCTAAGGATACAGGTCAATTCTTGCAGGTTGAAATCATTTCCAATGCTTTCTCCTTCGCCTTATGCAATATTTACCAACGGCCTAACTGTTGGGACCCGGAGCTTCTTCACCCGGTTGTTGGTTCTCACCCCTCTGCTCCCTGGGTTTGTTGTGGTGATTTCAATTATTGTGTCACTGATTTGTGCTTAGGGAACAGTACTTTGGTTGGTATCGGTCGTCACTCCACTACCCCCATTGATGGCATTTTTGCTCAGCAATTTGTTCATTGTACGGGCGGGGAACGCCCAAGTTCTGGTCAGGATCATTCAGTTGCTTGGGCACAACTGGGCCTACCCGCTTTCCCCAAAGTGAACTCTGAGTCCACAAGTTGGAAATTTCAGAAGTGCCGCAAAAGCACGTGTCAGTCTGTGACCTCTGAAGAAGCTGCTGAGGCTTGGAGACGGGCCGCGAGTCCTCAGACCCAGTGGGAAAGTGTGCTTCAGTCTGAAGCTGAAGATGTGTGGTCTCTTTTTACTAAGGATCTGCAAAATTTCCTGGTACTCACGGGCCAAGTCACCACACCCCCGAGCACATATCAGTTAGGTATGGTCCCCAAGCTGATCCCCGCTGGGCACCGGGTTGGGTTTCGTCAAACGCACCAAGAAAGAGTCCTTCGTAGGGCCATCCGGCGCACACGTGAGGCGCTGCTGCTTAGTCGAGACGGTCGTAACATACCTAGTGGGTTAGTTAGAAACATCACCAAGGGACTGAACGGCCGCGAAAAGCAGTTTGTGCACCATCGCCAGTGGAAACCCCTTGAAACTGAGTTGCTTGGGAAACTTGAAGACCTGTACCAAACTCAGACCAAGGCCAAGCAAAGGGCTTGGCGTTCAGATATGCAAGATGTTTCCAAGGCTGTTGCTTGGGTCAAGAAAACTGAGCCCCCGCCTCTGTTGCTTAAGACTCAGGCTGGTAACATGGTGGCGGGCGCCGCCGCAGGCGCCCGTGAGCTCGGGTCCTACTGGTCAAAGGTTTTTGGTGTAGGGGATTTTTCGGATGACCCCAATCTTTACATGGTTGAGTATCATGATGATTTACCCACCCTCACTGACGCTGCCCCTTATTCTCCCCTTCAAGAGAGAGTTTTAAGGCAAGTTACTCGTGACATGCGCTCCAAGGCTGAAGGCCCTGATAACGTGTCAGCCCAAGCTTTGGATTCCATGCCACCTGAAGGTTGGGTTAGGTTTACCCAGATGCTCAATCGTTTTGAGGCTATCCAAAGTTGGCCTTCTGCGGTCAAGCATTGGAAAGTCACTTTCCTGCCCAAATCGTCCTCTCTGGATGTCGATAAGTTTCGGCCCCTCAGTATCGGTTCGATCGTTTATAGGATCTGGGCTCGCTGCCGTGTTCAGGACTATGGTCGGTTGGTTGACCCTCATTTAGGAAAGTTCCAGGCTGGTCATAACTGTGATTGTGAGGTTCTTCACTTATCCATGGAGAGTGAATACCCTGGCGCGGAATATGGCTTTGGTTTAGGCCTTGATTATACTAAGGCTTTTGACTCCACTAACGCTTCTCTTGCTGCTGCACTTTTCGCCCGCATTGGCGTCCCGCCTCAGGTCTTAGGGCTGTTGAAAGACCAGTGGTTGGGTCAAAAGCGATGGGTCAGTTTCGCTGGGAGTGTTTCGCCCGAGTGCTTAGGAGAGGTTCCTTCGCTCCCTCAGGGTGATCCTTGGAGTCCCCTTGCTCTGTCCTTAGTGCTTGCTGCCCCTACCAAAAGGGTCCAAAGACTTTACCCCCAAGTTGCCTGCATGGTTTACCTTGATGATCGCACGCTTCTTGCTCCTGATGTCCAGACTCTTCATGAGGTTTATAATGAATGGGAAATTCTTAGCACTGTGACTAGGCTCCGCACTAACCCCAGCAAGACCCAATGCTGGGCTCGGAACCCCAGTGTCGTAAGATGGTTCGAGGCCCACCATCCTGGTTTCCCTGTTGTCCCTGCGGCGGAAATTTTGGGGTATATTGTCGGGTTACATCCGGAAGACCACCCCAAAAAGGCTGCTCGCGTAACTAAGAATGAGACTACGGCTGCGCGAATTTCCCTCCTCCCTGCGGGACAGAAGCTCAAACAGTTGGTCACTACGGCGCTACTTACTAGTGCCGCGGCTTGGGGGCAAAGCCTGATTGCTTGGGATTTGGATAAAGCTGCTAAAGCCCACCTGGCTAATTGGCGCCTTGCTGTGTTTGGACCTCGCCCTCCTTCCTCTGAGAGAGCTAGCCCTTATTTGAAACAATTTTTCATTTTGGGTCATAGTTCCGATCTCCGTTTTGTTGTTTTTACCCGCTTCATTATGACTTTAGCCCGGTGGTATCACTGGAGGTCCCCTAGTCAGGAGGTCAGACAGGCGGTGGCTGAACAGATGCAGCATATCGTCCATCAGGTGAATAATGGTTTGGCAGAGTGGGGGTGGCGCCCTACGTCCTGGGGTCGTTGGGCTTCCACGGCGGACCACACCTTTTCCATTTTTTCCAATAAGAATGAACGAGCTAAGGCCAAACATCAGCTGCGTCAAAGCTGGCGTAAGACCCTGCTCCTAAGGTGGTTGCAGACGGATCGAAGGGATGCTGACATTGGTCGTCATATCAACTTGCAGGATCAGATTGATGACTCTTTTGTTGATCAGCTTAGGAAAATTTTTAAAAGGTGCACTGACTCGCACGTGCAGGCGGTGATGATGGGTGGCATGAGAACGGCCGCTAGCACGCGGTGGGCAGGGAATTTTGAAGAAGTTACGGAAGCCGGTGACATGGTGTGCCTTGATTGCCATCAGGAAAATCACCCTACCGTTGACCATATTCTTTGGCAGCGCCCTGCTTTTTCTAGTCTCCGGCGATTGCCGGCTCCGACGTGTCCTTTTGTGCGGCGTTTGGGGTGGGGGCCTAGTGTTCCTATTGAGGAATCGGTCAAGCTTCTAGCTCAAATGGGCAAGATACGCGAAGCCGAGGTCATTAGCCGCATGGCTCGAGTTCGCTTGCAAAACCGGATTCATCAAATCAGAGGGGGTGGTGATACCTACTCTTGGACAACTAAGGTTCTCTACCAAGCTAAGGTCCTTGCGCCTGTAGTGATGCTCCTGGGATGCTGCGATGGTGCTGCTGGCGCTGCAGAAGCTTGGCAGCTGGCGGCAGCTGGCGGTGGCGGCTCCTTGCGCTGGCGCCAATTTGACAACTCGGAAGGGCAAAGTAGTCGGAGTGCACGTATGTTTGATGTCAAAAGAAATACAAAAGCCTTGTGGTGGTGGCCTCTTTGTCTCCTGTTGGTTTCTCATTGCACGGGATATGAACAAAATGGCAAACAAGAAGGCCAAAAAAACGAAAGAAGAGCCAAGAAAATTGACCAGTGTGGTCGTTCAATTGTTTGGCGCCCGTCTAGGGTTCGTTTGCAGCTTAGTGCATGTTCTGCATGTCTTTTTGGTCCTGAAAGGGCCGGTACTCTTTTTAGCTTTGCTTGGTGGTACAAGACTGTTCGAAAAGCCTTGGGGTGGCCTCTTCGCCAACTGTTGCTTCGTCCTGTACTTTCCTGTGATGACAATGGCAAAACAAGAAGGCCAAAAAAAGAAAGAAGAAAAGAACATGTGAGTGTGGAAATCCCACTCTATGTCAAGCTCCCCGTGTGGGAGATGCTTCAGATCAGTGAATTCGTTTCTCAGAATTCGGTTGACAATGAATTCGTTTGGGATCTCTGGGTCCTTTATTTATTTCAGTTTCTTTGCGCTTGGGCACTTGCTGTGCGCAGCCAGGCATGTACAGTTGCTGGTTCCCTTTGCAGCTGGCCTCGTCGATTTCGCCACTTGTATGTGACTAGCCACCGTTCCGGAGGCTACCCGGGTCCCTGCGCGACCGTGCCGCGCCATGGCTAGCGCTGTTTTTATCTGCCCCTAACCCTGTGTCAGGTTGCGGCAGCCAATGATACGCTTCCGCCTGGACTCGTGGTGGTTTGGCGTGCCATTGCTTGTTCGAGGTCCACTGATCAACTTGCCAGTGGTAGCGGCCACTGACTATCCGCCAATCCAGGTTGTCGTGATCGCGATGGTTTTGACGACCGGCATGGCAGCTTCCATGCAAGATGGAGGCTCACCAGAGTTGACATTCAATCAGAGAGACCGACATACATGAATCGATAGATAATCAGAAAGAAAGAAAGAAGGAAAGAAAGAAAGAAAGAAAGCAAGAAATAAAGAAAGAACGAATGAACGAAAGAAAGAAAGAAAGACAGAAAGAAATACATAAATAAAGAAAGAAAGATAGATAGATAGATAGACAGATAGATAGATAGATAGGATAGATAGATAGAAAGATAGAAAGTTATATAGATAGACAGGGAAGCTGGAGGTGTCAAGGAGTTGCTAAGTATGGAGGAAGAATCTGGATTTGAAATGCCACCTTAAACAAGCATGGTTTTCAGGTTGAGTTGTTCTGGGTGATTGCTAGTCAAGAGCCAAGGGTTTCTTATTCATGGGTTTTCGCAAGATCAAAATGAAATGTCAGTGTTCAATGCCCGCAATAGCAGCCAGATTCGAATGTTAGGTCAGTCCAGGGGCGACATTATTGACGGACTGCGACGCTTTCTGCTGACCATAGAGTGGCAGTCGCCACCCAAAACACATCACCGACCAAACTGCGATTTACCAATCCCACAGCTACCCTTACCATTACCACTACCACGACCACAACTACATGACATGCTTTTGGCTTGTAGCAATATTATTGCTACTTCTGCAGTAGTAGACTACCACTGCTACTGCTACTAGAACTAGAAGTACTAGTAGTATTTGTAGTACTTGTAGTGCTAGTAGTACTTATCGAAGGAAGTTTAGAAGTCAAACTTCCGACAATATGGACAGATGAAAAGCAGAGCTGGGCAGAGGCAGAGAGAAGAGGAGAGTAGAAGAGAGAAGATCAGGGAAGAGAAAGAGTCAGAAGAAAGAAGATGCAGGTGTGCGAAAAGGTAGGAAAGTCGCGAAACACTGTGTTTTTCCAATGATTTGAGGCTCGGGAGGGTCAAAAAGTAGGCTCGCTAAAGCGGCGGGTGCGGAGCCAGCTGGCCAGATGAGAGATGAAAAATTGCACGCCGTTGTGGCGCGAAGCACATTTCGAAGTCAAAATGTACAAAGCACCTCAGCGCCGGACCACTTTTGGAAGTTGAGATGTCGAAAAAGTGCATGCCGTTCGTTATGGCGCGAAGCACATGTCGAAGTAAAAATGTACAAAACACACCATTCTCGGACCACTTTTGGAAGTTGAGATGTCGAAAAAGTGCACGCCGTTGTGGCGAGAAGCACATTCCGAAGTCAAAATGTTAAAAGCACCACATGTTCGGACCAATTTTTGAAAGTTGAGAGTTGAGATGTCGTTTTGCGTGGCAGGCGCAAGGGATTGTGCACCTTGTCAAAAGTGAGCAAGACGTGAGGGTTTTGTAGCATTTCAACTAAAACCACCACTACACCACACTACACTCCAATACACTACACTACAACTACAACTACACCTTCACTACATTCCACTACACTACACTACACTTCACTACACTCCACTACACTCCACTACACTACACTCAATTACACTCAATTACACTCAATTAAACTAGTATTACACTCCATTACATTCAATTACACTCAATTACACTCAATTACACTCAATTACACTCAATTACAATCAATTACATTCAATTAAACTCAATTACACTCAATTACACTCAATTACACTCAAGTACACTACACGACACTACACTACGCTACATTCCACTACACTACATTCCACCACGCTACGCTACATTACACTACACTACATAGTACACTCCACTCCACTACACTACATTCCACTACACTACATTACACTACACTGCACTACATTCCACTATGCTACACTACATTACACTATACTACATACTCCACTCCACTCCACTCCACTCCACTACACTACACTACACTACACTGCGCTACGCTACACTACACTACACAACACTAACACTAACTACAACTACAACTACGATTACAACCACAACTACAACTACAACTACGACAATACTACATTTACACTACGCTACACTACACTACACTACACTACATTCCACTACACTACATTCCACCACACTACACTACATAACACTACACTGGATACTACACTCCACTCCACTCCACTACACTACACTACATTACACTACACTACACTACACCGAATGACACTCCACTACACCTACAACTACAAATACAACTGCAACTGCAACTACACTACATTGCATTACACTACACTAAACTACGTTACACTACATCAGACTAACTACAACTACAACTACAAAAGACTACACCACACTACACTACACTACACTAATTACATTACACTACACCCCACTCCACTACACTACACTCCACTACGCTACAGTACGCTACACTCAATTACACTACACTACACCACGCGACACTACACTACACTCCAATCCACTCCACTACAACTACAACTACAACTACAACTACAACTACAACTACAACTACAATACGTTACATAACGCTACACTACACCACACTGCAACGACAACTACAACTACAACTGCAACTACAACTACACACTACAGTACACTACACTACAACTACAACTACGACTACACCTTCACTACATTCCACTACACTACACTACACTACACTAATTGCATTACACTACGCTACACCACACTACACCACACCACACCACACCACCCTCAATTACACTACACTACACCACCCTACCCCACATTGCATTACATTACATTACATTACAGTACAGTACAGTACAGTACATCACATTACACTACACTCATTACACCACCACAAATGCAACTGCAACTACACTACACTAGTTGCACTACACCACAACTACAACTCCACTACACTACAACTACAACTACAGCTGCACTACACCACACTACATCCAGCAGTTGTGGGTGCGGTGACCGACCAGGTGACCACTGCAACCATTGCAGCCACTCCAAAAAACACAGCTCCAACCACCTTTCGGTCCATCAGTGGATTCGCTTTGCCATCCGCGATTCACAACAACCAATCTCTCCTATGGATTTCCTATTTCAGAAACTTCCGCCACCGCCTTGTGCGGTACTACTAGTAGTGGTACTAAGTACTAGTGGGCTAGTTGCACTAGTCGTATCAGTCGTACTAGTAGTACTGGCTGTTGGTGGTAGTAGTAGTAGTAGTAGTAGTGGTAGTAGTAGTAGTAGAAGTAGTAGTAGTAGTAGTAGTAGTACTAGTAGTAGTAGTAGTAGTAGTAGTAGTAGCCGAAGGAAGTTTAGAAGTTAAACTTCCGACAATATGGACAGATGAAAAAGCAGAGGTGCGAAGAGTCAGAGGGGAGAAAAGTCAGAAGAGAAAAGATCAGAAGAAAGAAGATGCAGGTGTGCGAAAAGGTAGGAAAGTCGCGAAACACTGTGTTTTTACGATGTTTTGTGGCTCCGGAGGGTGGAAAAGTAGGCTCGCTAAAGCGGCGGGTGCGGAGACATCTGGGGAGATGAGAAATGAAAAGTTGCACGCCGTTGTGGCGCGAAGCACATTTCGAAGTCAAAATGTACAAAGCACCTCAGCATCGGATCACTTTTGGAAGTTGAGATGTCGAAAAAGTGCACGCCGTTGTGGCGCGAAGAACATTTCCAAGTCAAAATGTACAAAACACCTCAGCATCGGACCACTTTTGGAAGTTGCGATGTCGAAAAAGTGCACGCCGTTGTGGCGCGAAGCACATTTCGAAGTCAAAATGTACAAAGCACCTCAGCATCGGATCACTTTTGGAGGTTGAGATGTCGAAAAAGTGCACGCCGTTGTGGCGCGAAGAACATTTCCAAGTCAAAATGTACAAAACACCTCAGCATCGGACCCCTTTTGGAAGTTGAGATGTCGAAAAAGTGCACGCCGTTGTGGCGTGAAGCAGATTTCGAAGTGAAAATGTACAAAGCACTAGATGTTCGCGCCACTTTTGGAGGTTCAGATGTCGTTTTGCGTTTTGCAGCATTTCCAGAAACGATGGCAGGCGTGGGGCATTTGAAGAGGATCTTCAAAGATGCATTTCGCGTGGCAGGTGCAGTACAAAAGACATGTTCATCAGAGATGTTCGGAGGTCAGGGCGCTCATTTCCTGAGAGGGGTTGCATTTTGGAGTATCAGATCTTCAGGTTTGCTGAGATGATTTTGCGTGACAGGTGCAGCACATCGTATGACCTGGCATCAATTTTTCGTGGCAGGCGCAGTACTTTACACAGGTGGAGTGGAAAAATCGCAAAACGCATTGGCACGAGGCTCCCAGCGCTGCACTCAACTTTCCATTTTTGAAGGAAGTCTCGCAGAATTGCTTTGTTTTTGACGTTGTTAAGTTCAAACATTGAGGAAGTCTCGCAGAATTGCTGCGGTTTTGGACGTTGTTAGGTTGCAAAATAAAAGTAGTGTCGCAGAATTGTTTTGTTTTTGATGTTGTTAAGTTCGAAAAATGAGGAAGTCTTGCAGAAGAGCTTCGTTTTCAACCTGGCACATAGACAGATAGATAGATAGACAGACAGACAGGCAGACAGAGATAGAGAGAGAGAGAGAGAGATAGATAGATAGGTAGATAGATAGGTAGATAGGTAGATAGTTACATAGTCTTAGACAGATAGATAGGTAGATAGATGGATAGACATATAGATAGATAGGCAGATAGATGGACGGATAGACTGATAGATAGATGGACAGATAGACAGATAGACAGATAGATGGAGAGATAGACAGACAGACAGACAAATAGATAGAAAAAGGGAGCTGGATAAATAGATAGATAGATAGATGGATAGATAGACAGATAGATAGACAGATAGATACATAGGTTTATACACAGATAGTTAGACACCAAGATGGATAGAAAAATAGATAGATAGATACATAGACAGATGGATAGACAGATCGACAGATAGGCAGATAGATAGAGAGACAGTTTTATCGATAGATAGTTGGAGAGATAGACAGATAGATAGAGAGATAGTTGGACAGATAGACAGGTAGACAGGTAGACAGATAGACAGATAGACAGATAGACAGACAGACAGATAGACAGATAGACAGATAGACAGATAGACAGAAAGACAGATAGACAGATAGACAGATAGAC